TGTATGTAGCCAATGTTAGTAACTTCACTGAACTCAGCATGCTGAGCATTTGTAGCAATTTCAGTAACCACCATTCTGATTCAAGCCTGTAGATTTTCKAAAAGATTCAAAACTATGTTTGCATTTGACTTTACCTGCTCCATAGATATAGTTATTTCTCCCAGCTGCTGTGAAAATAAGCCCAGCCTTTTTCAGAGCTGGCTAACGCATATACAGAGCTGGTGTATCCAGAAAATATTTTCCACCTCTTAACTGTATTTGAGAATGCCTGCCCTCTGGAAGGCTCCCTGGGCTGTAGATCATTTATCAGACTGGGTGTTGCCTTCACTTTAACATTCTGGCTGAGCTTACAGAATTTTATTTAAATGACCAGATATTAGTCCTGACTCTGGGAAGAATTAAATACTATCCTTAATCACTTTCCTAAAGTGTTTAAAATTTACTGTGTGTTGAAATGCTTTCTTGCACTTAYTTCATACAGGGCTAGATTGCTCTACAATAACTTTCTGTCTTTCTTAGTGTTGGTTTCCACTGCGTCTGTAGAAGAAATGCAATTTAGATGTGTCATTCACTGTATTTCTACCCAATCCACTTGCAATATCTTCTCTACCTTCTGAAAGGTATTTTGAGCAGCTCATTACAAATTATCATACAGGGCAGAGCTCTCAACAGTCCCACAATAAATCCGCACCAAACTATAAATATGACATAACAGGAGGCATTGAAAACACCACAGTTCACTTCAAAATCATAATATGACCAACTTGTGAAAGCAGCAAAGACATGGAAACATGGCAATTCAGAATGAATGGAGAAATACTGCTCTGCCTTTCCCAGTTTGTACTTTCTGGTGGGTGTTCACACATGAGATGCTTATTGCCTAGCTCAACTGCTGGGAAGTTGTTTACCTCTACCTTCCCTATAGGCAGGCTCCTTTCATGACAAATGAAGTAAATTTACTTAAAAATAATAGAGAAATATCCCCTCCACACAATACTCATCCCCCACCTAATAGATGGAGCTGATTCCCTTCTTACATAAAAAAAAAAGACTATTTTAAATACCAGGAGTAATAAGAGTATAAGGCATACATTTGGAAAAAAAAAAGTAGAGCCTTTTCCAGAGCCATTTGGAAAACAAGACAGACCCTTTAATTACCTGCAGAAATATAGCTGTCAGGCATTTACTGACAGTTTTTCAAAAAGATCTTTAACACACAGCATGGAGAAAATGTAATCTCGGCACCTAGTGTCAGATCAAACAATTTGTCTGCCATCAATTAGAATGAAAGAATATGTGAAATCTGAGGGTAACATCTGGTATTTCAACACAAAAATGGAATCTCTCAAACTTAAAAAGGCTTTTGTCAAGATTATCGCCTTTTAAAGCTCAACAGTGTGAACTGTGACCAGAACGAAGGCTGCGAGCACTAGAACACTCAAAAGTGTGACACTGAAAAGATGACTTTTATTTAGCTGGCATTTCCTTATCTGTTAACGTGGTGTGCTGTGAGCATTGTATGGGCTCTGCAGAGCAAAATGGAACACCATGGATGGCTGCATTGAATTACCCRAGTACTGTAATGTTTATTGCTCCATAAAACCCATCATATGGAAATCAATTCCCATCACAGAGGTTGTTGCTATGTATTTTGGCTGTTATATTGTAAATTGAATTGTGGAAGCTTCAATTCAATATATAATGTGTCTTAACAGAGGACTTTTTAAGTTTTGTTTTTAGCAGTTACTCTACACAACTATGACTTCTTGTTTTGAACAAAWGTAAAATGCAAATCATCTGTGGCAGTGTGTATTAAACTGATTCAGCTCTTGTAGTCTGGCAGGAGAAGAGCAGAGAAAGGCCATGTGCCTATTGCAGTGGCATTCAGTCAAGCCCTAGAAGGCCATGACTTTCTGTTTAGAAAAAGCAGGTGGGACCTTGGACAGCATGAAGAACTYATAATGATGAGGCAACCTTTTGCCTCATGGTTTGGTTTATTATTTTCAAAAGGTCAGCTGTTTAATGTGGATAAATACAAGCACTGTTGCACRAGAACTGGAGCTAGAGAAACACTCATGACCATATGCACCCAGCAAAATAACTCCAGCTTTTTCCTCCTGTGAACTGATCACATGCCCTGTTTCCTCTGCACACCCTGAATTCCCCTCCTGCTTCCAGTGCTTGCTGCCTCCCACCCTACTGGGTCTTACCCCGTGCCAGCTGACCACCTAACCTAGCTGGGACACCTAACCTCACAGGGAAAGTCACTGAAAGAAGAATCTAATGAGAGACCTGGCTTCAATTTTGCTTTATTTTAATTCTGATTTCCCATTTTTCTGTATGATTTTAAACTGATGGTGATCAAGGTGACATAGCATCACTGATAATCAGGGAATGCAGTCCCAGCATTGCTCCTGAGTCCGTAGAAATGGAGAAAACTGAGAACAACAGGAAACTAAGAGCAGAGTAGGAGTTTCCATCTTTCCTTAACAATCCCCTGACTATWCTGACCTCAATAAAAAACACTTGTATATGAGTCATCAATCATTTTTAAGTCTGTATTAGCTTTTGAGCAGGTTATCATGAGCTGAAGCTCRTGATGAACAATTGCTGCTCCATGGCCTATTCTTCCCCATAGAAGTCACCAGTCTTATTGCACCTCTAAGAGAATAGACTTCCTGGTGCACAGGTTCCCCTGAGTGGAATGCAAGCAATTATTCTTGTCATCACTGCCTCTAAAGGTCAGGCAGCTTTTTCTCAGGAGGTTTTCACAACAGATATGAGGCTAAGATCAGTACAGAAGTACACAGAGAGCCAAACATCTCAGGAGATTGGATGGTTCAGAACTGGGTGGTGAAAGTGCCAATAAAACAGATCAGCTTAATTTTTTTTTTTTTTTTTAATTTGGAAAAAAAACCCCCAGGATTCCTATCATTCGTATAAATTAGAGAGAATTTGTTCTTTGATTGTCAGAAACTGAGGAAGATGTGTAGGATGAACATGGATGAACATGTAGCATCATCTGGAATGTTTAGATGCCCATGAACCTCGGGAGTAATAGAATAGTTGGTTGAGGATTCTTTTTCACTGTCCTTGATTTTGAAGGCACTGGGGGAATTCTAGGAGACTGAAAGAATATTTACACTGTGCTAGTATAGAAGTGTTGAAGCGACTTGAGTAAGATAAATATCCCCTAGCAGTGACAGGGAGTGTAGAAAAAAACAAGCTGGTAGAGACAACAGAGAATGACAGTGCTCCAAGAAGGAACAACAGGCACAGAATATCAATTGCTGTGRTTTTTCTGAGACTTGCCACAGAAATCTTATTTCATCATTTCAGGTTACAGGTTTGTACAGGCACCTGTGGAGATGTAACACACCTAGGTGATTGCAAGGGGGTTAATTTTGTTCTGTGTAAAACCTAATGAAAATTTAGCAATATACCATGTCAGAAAAACCCTTGTTAAGTGGTTTAGAAACAACAGTTCCCATGAGTATATTTTTATTTAGCTCTTCCCTCTCTATTTCAGGTATATGTTCCAGGTTGTCCTCCCTCTTGGTGCTTGCTAACATGTAATTCAGGAGCTCTTAACTGGAGGGAGATGTCTGAGAGTGGAGCTGGATCTGCAACCAGCAGGACATGGGTGCCATGGGATTGTCAGGGTACAAGGTGAGTCYGGAGCACAGGGTGAGCAGTACTCAGCACTGGAACTGGAGGAGCTCAGGGCTGATGCCAGAGGCCAGACCACAGCCAAGCTTCTTGGATGGACATGTTCATCCACTGACTTCAGAGCAATCTGAGCTCCCTGTGCAATCCTGCAGCAAATGTCTAGTACATCCTTGATTACTGCTGGAGGCTTGAGGGGAATAAATTAATCAGGRAGAGGGGTGATTTTTACACTTTGTTACAGGATGTGTATGGTAGGTAGCCCTCATTYTGAAAAGACTGATGAAAAATTAGAGAGGGCAGAGAACCACCAAAAAATGACAAGGGCAAAGTGTTTTTCATGGAGAGATGGAGGGTTCCATCTGTTTAGCTTGTCAACAAGAAAAGTGAGAAGCGACTTGCTTACAGTGTGTAAGTGCTTTCCCAGGCAGAAAATACTGGGCAGTCACCACTTCTCACAGCTTGCAGAGGAAGACAACAACAGCATCCAGTGCCTGAAAGTTGGAGCCAGCCAAATTTGATTAGAAATTAGGCCCAGCTTTGTCAAAATGCCTGCTTTGTAAACACATGAGCGAGGAGAGACCGTTGCACATAGCAAGACAGGGTGTTTTGTGAGACATAGGCTTAAGCCAAATCTAAGACATTTCACTCAGCTTTGAGTAATRTAAATGCAAGTTAGTAATTTCTAATAGGAGGAATTAAATTGTCAAACACCAACTTTGAAAAAAAACAAACTCAAATCAAGCTCTTAGGTCCACTCTGCTCAATTTGTGGACATCTGTCAGACTAGAAGAACAAGGGGAGACATTTCCAGTCTCTTTTCCTAACCAAAGAATCACACATAGGGGAAAGGAAAATGGCCAAGAATGATATGATAGCAGGACAATGGAAATCTTATATCTCTTGCTCCTTCAAACTTGTAARTAATCATAGAGCCTTCCTGTTAGGATGTCTGGTAGAAGAAAATGAGAGACCGTCTTTAATTATGTTGGTCATTGTACTAAGCACTCAGCTCTGTTGGTGATGAGCATAGCATTAATACCTGGAAGGGCAGCCCTGCAGGATTAGATGGAAGGGGAGAGCTACTGGTGTGAGAAGGGAGAGCAGAGCCTGATGCAGGAAGTCAGGGGTGGCACTAAACCACTCAGCTGTGGCTGAGGGGAGATGGACAGGAGGCAGCATGAAGAGCTGCAGTGGCAGCCCCTGGAATGAGGAAACACAGGATAGAAGGTGGCCAATAGCTTGCAGGAAATTGAAGGGAAGCAGGAAAAACGTGCAGATGCATCTCTGAGTAATAACACAAGCTCATTGACAGTTCAAGAGAAGCAGAACTATTGCCTGCAGAGAGCTTCCCCCTGCTTTTCTCTCAGCTACAAAATCTGTTTACATTACTGGCCTCCAACTGCCTSCTACTGACATCGCTGTAAAGGCAGTGTGTCCTGCTGTGAAGAAGCCAAGCTGAAGGRAAAAGTTTGCTCCTGGATCTCACCAGCTATTGCTACAGTGCTCTCAACACCGTGGGGCTTCCCAGCAAAGGTTGAACAATCCAGCACAGTGAGTGAAAAGCTTTTCAGGGCTCTTAGAAGCTTCAGTAAAATGCAGAGACAAAATGCTTATGCAACCCATGGGCTTGGGCTTCCTTGAGCTACTGCATGGCTTCTGGGGATTAAAATAAGAGAAGTGGGAATTTCAGGCAATGCTGGAGGCGAGAATAGGTCCCCTGKAGTCTTAAGATATACAAAAGCAAAAAAAATACCAAAAGACAATTACAGGCTCAAGCAAACTCAAATGACAAGCACGASTATTCCCTGTATAACATGCCTGTATAACTCAACATGTGTTTATTAACCCTATTTAGGAAGTTACTGTCTTTCCTAGAAGAGTTTAATCAATAATTCTTATTTCAATGTTATTTTAACTGAGGCAGAGGAGAAGAACAGAAAGGAGAAMAAGACAGTCCTACAAATCCCCTCACAGCTCCTTGTTAACACTGACAAATTATCTAGATACCTGCTGATGTCTTCTCTGAAAGCCCTGTATGAAATACGACACACAACTGCTAATCTACAGCAGCTTTCAAAGGCTTGATTCTAGGCAATTTATAGTGGATGATAGAAATTGTTTGTTTRCTTAATATCTTTCTGTAACAAGATGGTATTCTGTTAATTGCAGAGCATGAAGGTAATTATACTGTGGAACCGTGGTTGTGACATGAGGGTGCTCATTTTGCTCAATGTAAGTCAGACAAACGCGTGGTCAATCACAGCTTGTGTTTCYCTGAGTACCAACAACAATTACAAGCCTGATTAATAGGAGCCACAAGTACTGAGAAGAGCCCACTTGGGCTTTAGAAAAAACAAAGTTTACTAAATGTTGCCAGACAAGTGTCACAGCACAGATTAATTGCTGCGCACTGCTTTTCTTTTGCAGGTACATCACTGCCTTCACAGGCCAGGTTTGGAGCGCCCAGTCAGTGCTTGGCCACGATGGACATGTTCATGTTTTTGAWGTTTGCTCTTTGAAAACCAGCTTGTGCTTTTCTTCAGCTGCCAGAAGCAAGCCTACAGCCATAACACGAGTGAGTATGTGGCAGGGCTACTGCCAGCCCCCTGTAGCTCTAAGGTGGTTGTTACAGGTATGGGTCAAACAGCAGTTACTTGCTGTCCTTTCTTTTGTGAGCTGCAGTGGTGAGTGGCAAGCAGCATTGAGGATTGTGCTTCAGAGAAGCTTTCCAGCTCTGGGAGGAGACTGTTATTGCACAGAGTTGATAGATGGTCTAACAATTGTTCGGACCCAAGTGAGGGGCTGGCACTTTGCCAGGAGGACAGATTTGTTGGGGGTGAAGGGTAAACACCACCAAGTACCCACTTCCCAACTCTATGTGCTTTGTAGGGGAGTGGTTGCTGTGGATTTGTGTGAGCCACAGCAGGGACAGTGCATGCAGATCCAGCTCCAACGGGTAATACAATTCCCCAGTCAATCGGCAAAGCTGGATGTTAGATTCGGGATTAATCTCTGTGCCTGTGTTTTGTTTGTTGCAGATGTAAACAAACACAGGGTGCTGCAGAAGAGCAGAGCAGAGCCTCGGTGCTGAGCAGGGGCTGGTGCCGCTGTCTCCTGAGCAGCCCCTTCCCAGGGTACAAACCACTGCCTGCAGCCAGCGCCAGGTCCCCAACGCGGGGCTGCCAGGGGCACACCCACCCACCCACCTATGACTGACTGCAAGGCTTGCAACCCACTTTCAAGAGTGCAAAAAAAAACCCCAAACCATGCTCAATTTAATTCTTCATTCAGCTCTGATAATTGGTTACAGCAAATAAAAGTTGGGTGCTGAATTAAATTTTGCCCTCTCAAGTTCTGTACTGTAAAATGTGTCAAAAGAAATGTTACGATTTACTGCACAGTTTGAAGTGATTCTGCCTGGAAACACTGGCTTCTGTTGCTGCTTTTCAAATCCTAAACTTCAATGGCTAATTCAAGTTTTAAAAACCCAAAGACTAACAGATGTGTAAGGAATTTTTTTGAAGAAAAAAATCCATCAGAAATTATTTGAAGTCTGTCATGTGAAGTCTGGCAGAAGTTGATAAAACACAAATTAACTTTTGCTGTCCGCATTTACAACAACACTCCAGGACAGAGAGACCCAAACTGAAAAACCTTATTTATAAAAATGAAACCAGATTCCACTGGAGGGGAATGCAAACCAAATAGCAGGAGTTAAAGGAAAGCCAAGTAAATTTCAGTGGTCAATAGCCACACCACAACTTCCAGGTGCTGGGCAGAGCACTTGGTATCACCAGCATCTTGCCCTGTCCAAGAAACAGAAAAAAGGTAGTGCAAATCCCTTGTTGGCCTTTGTTTCTATTTTCAGAGTAGGTCTTCTGCTTAACATTCACATTATTAATGGGCTCTCTGGGGCACAGACATCCAGAAATTAAGCTTTGCTATACCCAGAAGGCCAAGAGCATTGCCAAGAGTCGGCACCCGATTTGGACTCGTGGTGAGGAGGCTCAGTTTGAGGTTCAGAGGTGATGTCCCCTGTGAGAGGCAGAGAGGCTCTGTCTCAGGGCAGCTTTGTGCTGAGTGGATAAAGCCACTTTTAGGCTGGGATAGAAAGATGTCAAGGTCAGACTGAAGATGTTCCAGGTCAAGTTAAGATGTGCCAAATAACAAAAAACGTCTCTCTTGTGCTGACAATCACCTTGCTGCTGTATTGCAGGCCAGTGAGGTGTACCCCAGGCTCATGCACTTAGCTTTTTTCTTTGGAAAGTAAAGTAGCTCCACGAATTCCCCAACAGCCAGGGTAAATACTATTTTTTTTTCCCCACAGCTGCCTCAAATTAAAACAAGCTATGGTTTTCTAGCTTTCTCTGGCCACTGCCAGACACAAGGAAAGCACCACACATATTGCTGAATTTGGTTTTGCCTCACTGGATTTTTATGGATGATTACCCTCAAAAAAGAAACTGTTAATAGGCCTGTGTCTGAATGCTCAACCATGTGAAACTTCATCTGTTACATTCAGGCTGTGTTTTGATTGATTGTTATTCCATTAACTRAAAATCCTTTGGGCTATGAAAGATATAAAACAGTCCTACAACCACTTGCCCTAAAACTAATATTTAAATATCACAGGGAAAAACTGAGTAGTCCATTAGAGTAATGGGAAAGGAATTACATCACAGATATTAAGTCTATGAGAAGGAAATAGATATGAATTCTAGCAGTATAAACCAGTGTAAAACAAAAGTCTTTTGAGCTGTGATTTAAGTGATGCTAGCAATACCACAGATTATTTAAATAGATTTTGTAACTCTGGTGTTTTTACACAGATTAAATTACCCTAGGAAAATAATGTAGTTTGGGGATAACTTACATACATAAAATGACATGCTCCAAAAATTTCAGTTTCCTGCATATCCTTCTTAATKGGAACAAATTCCAAAATAATTTTGATTTTAGAAGCAATTTGTGAAGATTTCCAGTGACCATTGCTCCTGCTCTCAATTCCAGCCAAAAATTGGCCAGTAACTTTTATTTTCACTCATGCACACTGTAAGAGATGGTACGAAAGTCCCTCATCTGTCTCACGACCTTTGAGATGGACAGAGACTGAACACCCAAAAACCCCAAGGGGGGAAGRGGGACTTTTGCTCAAAGAAGTCTGGGCCAGATGGAGGTGGGATGTCTGCCAAGTGCCGGTGCCCAGGCTGCTGAGAACAAGGTGTGAGCTACGCACATCTGCACTGTTCTTGCTGCAACAGCAGAGAACTGCATAACTCCTACAGTGTACCTGACAACACAATGGACATTCTTTCCCCGCTTCTGGGCCGGTTTCTCCCGCTTCAGAACCTCTTGGCTAACTGCCATACRCTTTCRAAAATACTAGAAAGAGRCTCTCGGAGAAGACCCCTAYGAGTACTCCCCACGGACATAGACAAATCTATGGGATCCAGACCTCAAGGATTTCAACTGTGCCGTTGGTAGCTATAACTCCACTCTTTCTCTCACCTTCCCTCTTTTTTCCGCTTCTCACCCTCTTCTATCGCATAAATCTGTTGTTGGCAYTCAATAAAAGTGYTTTGATTTTTGAATAAATCCTTGTCCCTGTTCTTTTGCACTCTGAGATTCGGTTAACAAACCATCACGCCTTCTGCTTGTATTGAGCAGATCWTGACACACAAAACAAAAACTCTTACTTGCAACATCAAAATCAATCTCTTCTGCCTTATCTTATTTATAATGCAAAATAAACCAATTTACATGAAGTGTTTAATGATTTTAATTAACATGCAAGAAACTTTGATTTGAATATCAGTTTTTACCTTGCATTACACATCTTTATGATCTGATTTGAAGAAAGTTTAGCATTGTTTGTTGGAAACTTTGTAATGCAAATTTCCACCTAAATATAGTCTTAATGATAAATGTGGCATATTTTTTCCTACCTATGTACCTATGCACATTYGTGTATACAGATCTTGCTTGAAATACATGTATCCATGTTCCAATTTTTTTTAAACTCTGTTGATATTTAATACCAAAGAAAGCATAAATCAGAACTTTAAARTAAATTGCATAGAGGAAATGTATAAATCAAAGTCTTACAGTACATTTTCAAAAAAACAAACCCTCTCATAGGTGATTATTACATACATATAATTTGAAAACAATGCTCTTTTTCTTCAAAATCTTGGTTCAATTCTGCCCTATGTTTGTTGCACGTGAACAAAGCTAAGAACACCTGTAAAATTCATCAGCATGGGAAGTAACATTGTATGTGTTCAAGTGATTCAAAAACATAAGGAAATAACCAGACCTGGTTTTGTCTCCTCAGCAAAGGGAGGTGTCTTAGTGTGAAAGACAGGTGTTGGCTGATGAAGGCAGGGACCCCCCYTYCCYYCSRAWTWWT